ATGGACTTCGGGTTCAGTGTCGATGATCAACTGTACGTGTGCAGCTCATCCTGCATTTCCAGCAGTGCTTCAATCATGTACTCACGATCCCGGAATGGAGCATAGTAGGCTCGGTGGTTGATCCACCTGACAATGGCTTGTTCCATGGTCATCGAGGCAAAGGCCATGACTAGGACACAATAAGCAGCACAGGTCCTGTTAATGCCACCGTAGCAATGGACAAGCACACGAATTGGCCTCTTCTTGCCTCCACGCTTCCGACCACCTCCCTGAAGCTTCATCGCCTCCAACAAAGCAAGAGCATTACCGAGCTCACCAGGGAATGTCTCATCGGCCACCTTCAAGGCACTCTGCCTTCCATCGGCACTCTGCCTTCCATCAGCGGCTCTTCCGAACAGGCTGCCCATGTCACTTCCCTTGCTGAAGCCCTTGTCATAGGAGCAGCCATAGCCAAATGAGCCCTTCGTCGATGCCTTCTGGCTTTGCATGTGATTGGAAACCTGACAGGGGCCGCTGTAGCCCTTGCTGATTGTCTTGCCCTTGCCCCTGCCGCCATTGGCCTTGCCCATCATTTTGCCCTTGATGGCACTCTGCCTTTGACTCTGGCTGAACTCCTCTGCTGAGCGCTGCCAGCACATCATAATCTTTCTGAAATCTGAAATGAGGCGGCGCCAAATGCTCTTGAACTCATGACTTCTTTGTTCAGCATCAAAGTCATTGGCATGTGTTTGATCCCAGCCACCATACCGAAGATGTGCAGTGCCAAACGGTCCACAATTCGCCAAATACTGATACCAGTCCCATGGCTCAAAATTCCGAGGTCTGTCATCTGCATTCATAGAGATGACAATGTCAGGCTTGACCCGGAGCTGGTCATATCGGATCGGGCAACCAATACTGCCAACAAACAGTTGCCACTGGGGATGGTCGTAAATCAAAACATCATCCATGGGCCACGTCTCGACATCATGCTGGCATGGCCGAGGTGGCGGGATCGACCCAGGCAGCACATCTGTCTGGCCGGTCCATGCTTTGTACAACTTCATATCCATATCTCCGAAATCTGAGATGGCCTCAACTGCCAATTTGATTCGTTGATCCAATTGTGCAGCCCTTTGGATCTTTCGGAGCCCGGTGGTATAGTCGGCAGCTGATCTGCCACAGTGTAAACAATTCCACCGAAGTTGTTGCACGGCTTCGTTCCAGTAATCACTGCCAAGGTCAATGTGATTGGCCTGATGATGGTCAGCAGCAGAACTCTGGCACTCTGCCTCGGAACTCCCTGAGCACCTTGAAACGGTCGTCGGCATCACTGCTTTCATCGAGCACCCAATTGTCCAACGATTAAAACATTAACAGTGACTAATGCATCACTATACAGTACATTAACCAATGATATGTAACATTGTGTTACTACTGTTACATCAGTATGAATGAATCACTTGATTATCTGGCCGGCAGATGTCGATCATGTATGGTGCAAGGCAACTCACTGACAGACTATGCAGGCAGGCAGGCAGGCAGCCAGCCTCGGAGACAGCAGGGTCCTGAGGACGTCACTGCCACCCGGCACTGTGTAGTCAGCATGTCATGCTGGGTAACCTTTTTGAATCCAAGTTGCGCACACTACCGCTGAGGTCTCAAATCGGACAGTCTAGCTCTGCTGGCGAGATCGTCGAATTCAAAATCCTCTAAGCACACGCAAACCCGGCACTCTGCCTTCCCCAACATCCGTAATACGGTCTCGGAGGCTGTACAAACACGACAAATCATTGATTCAGTGACGACACAAATTCGTCTGACACATTGTAATGTAAAATTCCTGGCACTCTGCCTTGCCGCACAAATCTCGGAACGAGTACGCACAGGATCATGTCATTGATATGCCAGTCTACTTGCAAGACTTGCCCACGCTCTTCAGAATTCAGAAACATCCACAATGTCGAAAAGGACTCCTCTAGCAGCTCGTCGAAATAAATCACATAATCATCGTCGTCAAAACTGTCCGCGACCGAGCCCACAAACGAACCCCCAAACGCCGCAGTGCTTGCAAACTCGCCAACAGCCAATAAGTCCGAGACCGAGCCCAGAGACTCACTGTCACTCCACGACGTCGACGACATCTGCCGGCTTGCACGGAGGCCTACTACGACTTAGACTAGAGACAGAGCAGGTCGTCGGGATCACTGCTTTCATCGAGCACACTTCAATTGTCCAAAGATTAAAACATTAACAGTGACTAATGCATCACTATACAGTACATTAATCAATGATATGTAACATTGTGTTACTACTGTTACATCAGTATGAATGAATCACTTGATTCCCTGGCCGGCAGACAGATGTCGATCATGTATGGTGCAAGGCAACTCACTGACAGACTATGCAGGCAGGCAGGCAGGCAGCCAGCCTCGGAGACAGCAGGGTCCTGAGGACATCACTGCCACCCGGCACTGTGTAGTCAGCATGTCATGCTGGGTAACCGTTTTGAATCCAAGTTGCGCACACTACCGCTGAGGTCTCAAATCGGACAGTCTAGCTCTGCTGGCGAGATCGTCGAATTCAAAATCCTCTAAACACACGCAAACCCGGCACTCTGCCTTCCCCAACATCCGTAATACGGTCTCGGAGGCTGTACAAACACGACAAATCATTGAAGCAGTAACGCCAGAAATTCGTCTGACACATTGTAATATAAAATTCCTGGCACTCTGCCTTGCCGAAAATCCCGCCGAAGTCTCGGAAAGAGTGTGAACATGATCTGCTCATTGACAGACCAGGCTACTTGCAAGACTTGCCCACGCTCTTGAGAATTCAGAAACATCCAGAATGTCGTAAAGCACTCCTCTAGCATCGTGTCGAACGGAATCACAGAATCATCGTCGTCAAAACTGTCCGCGACCGAGCCCGCAGTGCTTGCACCCTCATCGTCAACCAGAACCCAGTCCGAGCCCAGAGACTCACTGTCACTCCACGACGTCGACGACATCTGCCGGCTTGCAGGGGGGCCTACTACGACTTAGACTTGAGACAGAGCAGCTGTAACACGACTATAGTAGATTACGCAGGGCAACAGCGAGCACAACTGCTGCAGCGGCAAGTTGCGATACATGACACGCTCACTGACTATGCAAGGCAGCTTGTCCTCTGCGATGGCAGCATGTCCTCAGGATCCTCGTCATGAGCCTCGGTGCCAGGACTGTACCATAATAATGGAAGTAGCTGAAGCAAGCTGATGCTGAGATCCCAGCAGTTGGCATCCACTTCTCGATGGGCTGGAAGCCGATGAAGACCGATGGGAGAGAAGGAAATGGAAGAGAAGGCGTTCACTAGGCTTGGATTCAAACCGAACACTTAGACCTGGCCAACGGTGTGGGGAGCAACCCCGATGGGGCAGGGACTTAAGTAAGGCAACCTCGAGAGGCTCGACTGGCACTCTGCCTCTGTCGATCCAAGTCGCAAGGCTCCCTAACTAACGTGACAAGCATGGATGGCCTCCCCTCCTGGTTGGGAGAAAAATAAAAAAGCCACAACCACTGGACCACCCCACCCAGCACTTTAGCCCATGTGCCCGGGTGTCATATGCCACTGCCCTGGCACGTTGGCCACAAGGCGGTCCAGGTACCATCGACAACACCTGACACCCGGCCAACGGTGTCCACGAACCGAGATGGGCAGTCGATCCGTGTGGGTAAGGTGGCACTCTGCCTCTGTCGCTCCAAGTCGCAAGGCTCACTAACGTGACAAGCATGGATGGCTTCCCCTTCAGGGCTGTAAGCAGATTGCGAACAACACCCACTGGACCACCCCACCCGGCACTTTAGCCCATGTGCCCGGGTGTCATATGCCACTGCCCTGGCACGTTGGCCCCAAGGCGGTCCAGGTACCATCGACTCAACACCTGACACCCGGCCAACGGTGCCCACGAACCGAGAAGGGCAGTCGATCCGCGTGGGTAAGGGCAAGATCTCAAGGCAAGTCAACATGTCACTACGGCCTCCCTTCTTATTCAATCACAACCCAAAACTATTTAAAAAGATTAAATATTAAAAAATATTAACTTCAACAACAAATAAACAACAATTTTGTAGACATACAGCAGCAGGAAACCAGGTAGAACAACAGGAAGCCAATTGACTCACTCAGAAACAAAATTCACAAACATGTATTTTTTTACACCAAAAATAAAATAAAAGAATTTTAACAACTGTAAAACACAAAAAAAACCTATTTAAAAAACTTTTAAATACAAAACAATACTTTTAAATACAAAAAAACACTTTTAAACACAAATAAAGCCAACCACATACAAAAATGAGATTTTGGGTTCCTTTCATATAAGCCTTGTTGATCTAAACCCTGTGGTTCTGGTTCGGCGCAAAGGGTTAAGGATTGTTTTTGCTGTGTTAGAAATTTGTCGGGAAGTGGGCTTTGTGCTGCACTGTAGGGGCTTATCGGGCTGGTGGAGAAAAATGGTCGAACTAGGAGGACAGTGAGGAGAGGAGGGGCTGGGAAAAGGTGGTGTGGCCAGGGTTTCACACTTAAAGTATGTCGCCTGAAGGATGCCCACTCCGAAGTTGTTGTTTTCTGCGGTGGGTTTTGGGGGACTCCAATTCCAGGTGAACTAAATGCTGCAATTCACGTAAGTTCCTGATTGAACTGGGGGTTTTGGAGGGGTCGGGGAGTGGGCCAGACGGAGGTCTGACCCCGGCGCCGAACGCCGGCTCTGCCAGAGGAAGAAGACATCGTCGATGGAGTACCTGCCCAGCACGGCTAGCAACTTTGTCGAAGGGCGGACGGGGCTTCGGGCAACTGCTGCAGACGTGTGGCTAGCGACCGTAGGGAAACAAACTGTGTGAAAGCAACTGCTTGACTGAAGAAACTCCTTTTTTATCCGCCGGGCGAGAGACCCGAGAGTCGACAGTCTCCAAGAACCGTGCTCGAGAAGCTGTTCTCGAACGACTCTTGGTGCTTCCGTCCAAGACGACCAGTCAGGAACGTCAGTCGCCGAAGGCGGGCCTGCCGATGGACCGCGAGGCCGACCGCTCTTTGTCCAGGATGCGAAGCAAGCCCGGCAACGAGAGTCGCTTCTCTGCCGGCACGAACGTCTTCTCCAGGATGTCCTGCATTGTCTGGTCGTACGGCATCAGCTTGAAGCTCCTCGCAGTGGCCATCTCCCGAATGGCCTTTGCTGTCTGCTCCTCGGTCTCCCGCACGAACGTCCCCGGCGGGACTGAGAAAAGCGAAGCTTTTCTGGGGCAGCACACCTCGAACAACGTGGCTGCGGCCGCCCAGACGTCAGCGGCGAACTTGACACGAACCTGGCAGGGTTTCTGTGATTGAAACTCGGGCCTTCCTATTAACTGTTACATTGTCCGAAATAGGCTAGCTGCAAGGTTCGGCAGAGGCACTGCTTAAAGATACTGCAGGGATCAGAAAAGAAACTTTGAGCCTACGTTTTAAGGATTCCAGGGATATAGCTACGCCAGCAACCCATGCCTTTTGGCCGCCGGCCATGAGGCACTCCGGGCAGCGAAAGTCCAGGGTGTACACACGATCGCCCACCACAGAGCAACCGTTCTCGGAGACCCCCTCTGCATCGAACACGAGAATGTTGGCGGGCTTCACATCGAGATGCATGACCGAACGCCCGTGCACGAAGGACAGGCCGAGGACGAACTGCGAAAAAAGTCCCAGCAGCGAGGCCCTGCCGGCCGATCGTCCTTGAGCCTGCGAGCTTTCGCATGCAGGCTCTCAGACGCCCTCTCGAGAACCAAGCCCGGCCGGCCCAGCGAGCTCGTGACAACGGCGAAAGCTCGAACGACGTTGGGGTGCTGCCCCAGGGCCGTCAAAACGGCGAACTCCTCCTGAACGTCGATGCCGGTTGCTGCCGCTTGCAGCCCCCGACCTTTTGTCAGCTTCACTGCAACCGGAAGGCCTTCGAAGGTGGCGAAGAAGACCTCACCGCTCGCCCCACGGCCGACCGGCTTGAAGTCACGAAGCGAACGACCCAAAGTCCAGGTCCAGGTGTCCGCCTGCACTTCCCGAACGGCAAGGTCAGCATCCAGGTGGGCTTCGGCTTCTGCTTTTCGAACGACCTCGGCCTCGTCGGCAGCGACTTGCGGCGAAACATCGCCGAACGACTGGGCCTTTCTGTAAGCCTCGGCCTTCTTTCGGTTGGCCTCGTACTTCGCCTGAGCGAGTGCCGCGAACTTCTCCCGAATGTCCTTGCTTTTTCGGTGGTTCCTCAGTGCAAGGGAGGTTGATTCTCGGAAAGCTTTAAACTGTGTGCGACGGCAAGGGGAAAGTAGTAGGGCCCTTGCTCACTAGATTTGCTAAGGCTGCTCAAGCTTGCTGGCTATGGGGAACCTTCAATTGGTTCTAGGTGCAATGTGGGCCAAAATCTTCGGAGGACTTCCCTAGTAGTCTTAGTGCAACCCTATCGGCCGATGCAACAGTTTCAAAAGCCAACCTTGGGCCTCCTTGGGTCTGAAGCCTGTCGTTTGAAAAGCCCACTCCTTGCAACTGTATAAAATCCTTAGGAAAAAGCTGAAAAACACCTGAAATGCACCTGGAAAAATCTGAAACGCACATAGAGCTACTGAAAGGGTTCTAAAGGTTCGGTTTTGTGGTTTAGGGTATAAACTTTAGTAGGCCAAGAGGGCTTCAAGTGGAGGCTTTGCGAAGGTGTGAAACTGACTTGGAACTTTAAACACCTCCCTAAACCATCCAAAGCAATATAAAGATATCCTGGTTTAGTCAATGTTTGGCCGTATCTGCTAACTAAATAAAACAATCCCAGGATCCACTTGAGCTTCATCGCTGCCTTCTCCCGGAGCATCCGCTTCCCGCGAATGCGGAACTTCGCAGCCCGAGAGACCGTCAGGCCTTCCCGAGCGACCCACGAGTTAAACAGGGCCCAGGCGCTTGCGGACCTTTCGCCACCTGTCTCCGCCAAAGTGGCCCGTCCCATGGTGCTTCCCCTATAGTGACTAGACGAGGTTTGAAAAGAAGACGCTGCAGAAAAACAGGGTAGAGCGAACAAGAACTGCTGCTACTGCTTCTGCTGCTGCAAGTGTGACGGCCCAAGACTTGTTTGCAGACGAACCTCCTGTAAACCCCATACCCTGAAAAAACTTACAGAAGTTAACTGCAACGGCTCACTCCCACACAGCGAAGCGAAAGTTCCCGGAGTGGCGGCCTCGTGCTTGGAAGAGAGAGCAGGAACGGCCGGAGCTTGAACGGAACTGCGATGACCTGGGCGAAGCAAGGCTTTCTTGTGGAAGACGTCTTCTCAAGAACTCTGGCTTTCGCTACAGCAAGCAGGACAAAACGCCGTTTCTGCAAGCTCTGCACTCGTTGCTCGGACGGCCGCTTTACTCCGCAGTGAAACTACCGAAAAGCCCAGTGGATTCTGGAACGTCCTTCTCTGCCATCGCACGGGCCTCAAGCCGCCAACTTCTGCAACAGGCCTGCTGCCTCCTCCGGCATCGGCAGGCCGTCGAATGTCTCCGCCCACTGCCAGCCTTGGCGAACGGCTTCCGCTGCGGCATTCCTACTGCCCACGGCAGTCCACGAAATGCTGCGAGTGACCTGAGCCCAGACAGTCCTGTACGTGAGACGCCAGCGGCCGTTGTAGTCGTCCCGATACACTCGGACGGCTGTGGGAACGCCGACCTTCACGACTTTGTCGATGTCCGAGCTGAGGGCGGCATAGCACCGCTTGATCGCAGCGGCATGGTCCTTCTGCTGCTGCGATGCCTGCTTCTCTTTGGCCTTTCGAGCTGCCGCTGCCTTTTTGTACTCGGGTCGGCTGGCAAAGGTCTTGGCGACGGCCTCGAAAGTCCCCGAGACCCGCTTCCGGATCTCCACGGCAGTCTCGCGAGCGGCTTTCCGCTTCGCAAGTTGTTGGAGGGCGACGTCCTGGTCGGCCGCCAACATTGTGTCTCGCACGACCTCTGTCAGATCGAGCTCCCCAAACTCGCCCGACCACGAGGCCACGTCCTGGCGAAACAGGAGACGATTGACCACGTCGTCCTTCGTCAGAGTTGGCTGGAGAAACAAGAGGCACACCACGGCGAGGCGGTCGTCCTCCTCGTGGCCAGTCTCCTCAGCTTCGGCCGGCCATCCCTTCACCTCTGCGAGTCGTCGCAGACCCCACTCCGGAACGCCTGCGAAGCCGAACTTCTCGTGGTGCTGAAGCAAGGAACATCGGGCCTGCACCCGAAAGACAACTCCCATGGCCCGGGTCTCACCGAGAGACACGAGACCTGGCGGAGAATGCGCTTTTTGACTGCAGCTTACATTCGGGTGATTCTGCTCGTTGCTGTCACGCCGTGGGTAAACTCTAAAATATCGAGAATGTATAGAAAACCCTACGAAAAAGCTGAAACGCACCTGAAACGCACCTAGAAAATGCTGAAACGCACATAAACGACTCTAAAGGGTTCCCTGTGCTGGATTTTGGGGTTTAGGATTTAGGAAGCTATAGCCTAAGTGAATATTTACTACGGAACCAGAGATTTGCGGGCCAGGCCACGTTGTGGCGAGGTCGCAGCCAAGTCCAGAACGTCCACGGCCTCGTCGAAAAGGTGCACCCATCCGACCTGTGGGTTCTCCAGGTCCAGGCCGACGATGTCTCCGGCAGGGGAAGTCTGCAACTTGCCGGGCCAGACGAGAGCCGCTCGCTTGTAGCTGCGAACCACGTACAACGGTGGTCCAGTCGGAAACTGCAAGGCATGTCCCTCGGGAGCCAAGGCTGCCCACCATCCCTTCTCCACGAAGGACCAGTCCATGTTCTGCCGAACGACCTTGGTGAGCAGCGAGAACCCAGCCAGCTTGTCCTGTTCCGACTCAGGTGTGGGAGAGGCCCACGTCCTCGCTTGGCTAACGCCCTTCAGAAGGTCGCGAACGGCGGCCGACGAACTGCCCGGGTCCGTGCGGAGCCGCTGAGGCCGCACGAACCACGGGTCGGCCTCGGGCACGGTCGCCATCCGGCCACTCGGCACCTCTCTCCTGTGATACTGCTCCAGGAGCTTCTTTCTCGAGAGACCGTGCCAGCCCTCCAAACGACCCAACGTCTTCGAAGTGCCATTCCGCTGCTCGGCCTCACGTTGGACCTTGTTGGCGTCCTCCACGAGCTTCGAGTTCAGCAGGCCGCTCCACGAACGGCGAAGCCACTCGAACGTCCCCGGCGGAACCTCCACGAACGACGCCTCCCGCAACTCGGACAGCAACATGGCCATCACGGGCGCCGTGGCAGAGTGGCCGTCCAAGAGGAGCTTCGCTTCCAACGACCCCTCGGCCTGCACACGCTTGACCGTGCGATCCACCTCTTCCAGAAAGCGAAGGCTGGACTGTCGAAGGGCGGCAGACTCGTGCAGCAAGCCGGCCGATGCTCCCCAGCCGTTCGTGGACCCTAGCTGGCTGCCGCAACGATATCGCAAGAGACGGTGTGTCAGGCGAACGACTCTGTGAGCGACTGCATCCTGCCACGCCAGCGAGTCCTCTCGAACCTCCTCCTTTGGCAGCTCGAAGGACATGTCAAGGCCGATCCGCTTCAGAGCGGCCAGGTTGGACAGCTTGGCGACATGCTCGCGAGCGACCTCCATGTACTGCCAGTGAGCCCAGTTGGCATACTGGCTCACGGTGGCCTCGGCCGCCCGAAGGTCTGCGAGCATCGTGCTGCACCGAACGTTCTCCGGTTGAAGCACGAAAAACACGGACCTGGCCAGCGACCGATTGTCTTGGTTGCAGGCGAACATCGTCATCCCGTGCAAGACGTTCACCGAACGACCCCTCTGCTGCTGCAGAGCCTTGCGAGCGGCCGACTTGGCGGCTGCCCTGGTCGTGGCGGCCGTCGTCGTCTCGGCCATGCCAGCGGAGGGCGACCACAACTGGGACGCCGTCGTGCACCAGCCCTCGGCCACGCAGAGAGCGACCAGCACGAGGCAAAAGGCCGACCAGTCGCCGTCGAGCTCCGCATGGGCCTGCGAGAGACTGTTGAAGCGAGACTGCGAGGCCTTGCTGCCCTTGCTTCTCACGAACGACCTGTTTGGCAGGCTCTCCAGAAAAGCACGTCGCTCGGCCTCGTTGTTGTCCTCTTGCGAACGGCCTTGGTCCTCCAGAATGTCCGGAAAGAAAGTCAGCAGCAACGGATCCGAAGGGCTCATCGAACGACTCATCTCGTCCGCCATCGTCTGGACCTTGCCGAACCACGTGCCCTTGTTCCATGGGCCGTAGCGAACGTTGTAGAGGCCGATGGACACGAGGCCGAACGTCAGCAGACCGGCCGCCGCCATCGCGAGGTTCACGTCGTTGTGGGAACGGTGAGCCGGGTCGTTGACGTGCTCCACGAACAGCGAACGGCCGAACTTCAAGTAGTTCACGGCCGCCAACTGAATGGCCTCCTGATCCGTGCAGAGGATCAAGACCCTCGGCCGGCCTGCCTCGCTCGTCCGTCGGAAGGACGAAAAGCCCCAGCCAACGACCGCGAGGCTGTGGGACATGTCTCGGAGCCACTCCTGAGTGGCCAGCCTCTCCGGCTCCTTGTAGCCGCCTGTGGTCTTCGCTGCCGAGCGACCTTTGGAGCCGGCCTTCTTGAAGAACTTCGTGATGCGGCCCTGCCACATGTCCGTCCAGTCGTCCGACGTGATGGCCGTCCCTTTCTTCACCTGTCACAGGCAAAACTTTGACTCCAAACTCTATAGAGATTCAGGCTTGGGGCCCCGGAGAGAAGTGTTGCTACAGGAAGAGTTCCTAAGGGCTCTGAATTGCTTCTCTAAAGGGCTAGGAATCCCAAAGCAACAACAGCAGCTGGATACTTTGCCCGCAAAAAAAGCACACATAGACTCTACTGCCTTACAATTGACGATACATACCTTACGGCACTGCTGTTGGTTTGCAGGATTGTGCTCCCTTTGTGATCAGAAGTTGCAGTCAGGACACAAAGCTTGGATGCTGTGAAAACCTTCTCCGACCTCATACCCGGAAGGCCAAAAAAGAGTCCATTTTTGGCCAAAAATGGACTCGTTTTGCTATACAAAAATTAGGCGCGGTTTGAAGTATGGTTGTGCCGGGGATTCCTTAGGCTCGGTTTAGTGTATGGTTTTGCTAGGCGCGGTTTGCTGTATGGTTTTGGCTGGGAGCCCTGGCCTCTTGCTAGAAGGGAATGGCGGGGACCTGGCAAAACCGGGACCCTGGCGAAAAGCGAAAAAGGCAGGGTTTACTGTATGGTTTTTTAGGCGCGGTTTACTGTATGGTTTCTTAGGCGCGGTTTGCTGTATGGTCGACCTTAGGCGCGGTTTACTGTATGGTTTTATGAGGGCCCATTTACTGCAGAAATTTGCCAAAATACGCCTCCCAAAAGCATTGCCCAACCCTCTCAGTCTGCCTGTGGCGGGCAAAGGAAAGACACGTCCTCGCTTGTGTCGCAGAGGAAAACGTTCAGCCAGTCCTCCTGTCCCACGTGAACAGCATCAGCGACGACGCTGAGAACGGGAGCCTGTGCCAAAACCGAGCGACCAGCAGCGACGTAGGACAAACGCTCGGCTTCAAGGAACTTCGAGGGTCGTTCCCTGTTTCGTTTCGTCTCGGCCGCCCCCGAGCCCGAGGCGAAATGGCTCTGAGCCACGAGAGCCGCAGCGATCGATGGGCCTGCCTGTCCACCCGCATCCAAAATGGCTTCCTGGCAGCCGTGCGACGATCTGCGATACCCTCGGGCCGTCCTGCAAGGAAGAACTGCCATCCCTCACAAAAGATACCCAAAACCCTAAGAAAAAGCTGAAACGCACCTGAAACGCACCAGGAAAAAGCTGAAACGCACATCGACAACATTAAAGGGTCTTATAATTCGCTGGTTTAAGGGTTTAGGGCTTGCATTAACTAAATAACCCCATTTGCAAGACTTCCGGGTCCTTAGCTGGTCCAAGGCATCCACTCGAGTGGCCGTCCAGAGCGGTTTGCCGACAGTGTCGTCGATGCTCTCTGCGAGAGACCGGACGAAACGAGCGAACAGCTTCTCTGCCGCCCTCCGCCGGTCCTGACTCAAGCTCCTGCGAACGGCATCAGCTTGCAGGATTCTCAAGGCTTCCACCACCTCAACCTGCTCCTGCTTGTTGAAGATCTTCGCTGCGATCTGGCCGTGCTCCTTGACGAGAGACTGGACCGACACCTCGCCCCGCACGACCTGAAAGCAGCCTTTTCGAACGTCCTGCCAGAAGGTGTCTCGCATCCCTTGCAGAATGCCCTCTGCACGGGCCTTGATATCATTCGGCTCCAGATTCCATTTCGCATTCGCACGAGGGCCCTTCGCCATAAGCTGGCCTAGCCAACAGATGCAGGCGAAAGACGACAGGCTAAAGTCGCCCTGCTGAGCGGCTCATCCTCCTCCTCCTCCTCCGCCTCCCGGTCCCCAACGTCCTCGCGAACATCCTCGTCGTTGGCGGCGGCCTTCCGCTTCCTGGCACTGACGGCAACCTGCTTTGCCATCATGCTGGAGGACGTCAAGTGGTCGTCCGCGACCGGCAAGGCGATGGCCTCCTCGTCCTCCTCCTTCGCCTCCTCGCCCATCTTCTGAACTTCCTCATCAGACGACGAAAGGCCATCAAAAATGACTGCTGCGGTGCGATTGGCTATCGGCTCCCGCGAGCGACCGGCCATGTTGGCGATCCCCACACCGCCCAGGAAATCGATCATCCATCGGAAGACCCAGAAGAAGAAACCAGGTCTCGAGTGGCCGTCGCGAGCAGCGACGGGGGTGGTGTACTGATACACCTCCCCCTTGAAGGACCCGTGAGGGCCACAGGGCAGAACGATCGCCCGAACCACCCTCTCCCGCAGCACGGCCTCTCTCTGGCCCGCCCTTTCCGCCGGGGCCTCTGCTTCGCGAACGTCCCTTTCTCCGGCTACCTCTGCTTCACGCACGACCGCCATGATCACGGTTGATTAAGCCTACCGGCTAAAACCTGCTAGTCGTGACTGTCTCTGCCCGTGCAAGGTCTTTGGGTCTGCAACTGCAAGTGCTTAGGGCCCCTTTCAGGGGCGAGCCTTCCTTGAGCAGGGCAGCTTTGTTCGCAGCAAACGCCAAGGCACTGCCCGCAGAAAGTGAGGCACAGGACAACGAAGGGCCGAGCACCGGGCCGCTGGGCCAGCCTGTCCGGAGTTGGCTTGGTTTTGCTTTGGATTGACACTAGAACTGCGAAACGCCGCAAAAAACCTTGGAAAAACCCTGAAAAGCACCTGAAATGCACCTGGAAACTGCTGAAACGCACATAATCTACTGAAAAGGGTTGTTGTCCCTAACCCGGCAGCCCTTAACGCAGAAAAGTGTCCACTAGAGGCACTACTCATCGAACACGGCCCAAAACACTGGAAAAAAGCTGAAAAACACCTGAAATGCACCTAGAAACTGCTGAAACGCACCTAGTAGGCGACTTGAAAGGGTTCTTTTTGCTTCCTGTGCATCCCCAATGTAGCCGAACTACAGGATCCCCGCAAAACTTGCCGTTGTCTCGAACAACGACAACCCGAGAGACTCACACTGGCTCACTCGTCCTTCTTCATGACCCACTTGGCCTGGGGATCGACGGACCGCAAGTTGTCGAACAAGGTACGGCAACCGAACGACAAATGCGGGTTGGCCTTCGATGACACCCTGGCCGTCGGCTGGCTTTCGTCGTCCAGAACCCACTCGTCGCCCGCGACCGCGAGCGACGGAAGGCTGGCCGACTCCCCGTCCAGGGCATTCGTTACCTGGTCGCCCTCCAAGGTGAAGCACTGGAGGTCGAACTCCGAGGTCACGTGGGGTGCCACACGATGCTCGCCGAGGGTCTCGAACCGCTGCTTGGC